TAACTTTTGCATTATTAATTTTCAATATTTCCTCATTAAATTGTTTCTCTTCAATTTTCAATCGTTCATATAAATGTTTTACAACGTTCATCCATTTAAAATATCTTGAATTCTTTGGTTTCCCATCTGCTTTTAAAAAAAACTTTACTTATTTTCAAAATATTATAATATGATTCCCATATCCTCCATTGTCATATTTTTTGGTACTTTCTTACATAAAAAAGACCAAAGTCCTTTAGTCCAAGGATAGTAGTTATCGAGTAAGTGTAAGTTACCATGTTCAAAAGTAACAGGGATATTTGATATTTTAAGTTGATCGTTAACTGAGTCATAATGCATACCATAAGATTTATCATAACGTCGTGATTTCAGATTTGAAATAAAAAAAATATCAAACGATGAATTTAATAAGTTTTCGTTATCTTCATCACTAGCATGTAAAACTTCTTCATCTTTATTAGAAATAATCGGAATATTTAATTTGGACAATGTACTCAATGGTTCGAGTAAAGGTTTAAATGTTTCACGAAAATAGTTATCAGAATCTATAACACCACGTCTCATATCCATTATTTTTTTTTTCGATGACATTAAATTTTCTAACAAAACTTTTTCTTTATCCATTAGAAATAATAATTTAATATAACTATTTCATCCGACTTAAAACAATATTATGTAGATGTTAACTAAATTACAACTATATTTATAAAATTATTTTATTTTTTAATGAAAATATGAAAACCACATCTATATCTACATTTATTGATTTCACGTGTTTTATCGATAACCATAAATCCCCGTAATCATTATGATTCCAGCATAAATGAGAAATTTTCCGAAATTCTGAGAAATCCATATCTGCCGATGAATGATCATTAAATATATGACGTAAATTTGTGTCATCCTGTTTTAGTATTATTAAAAAGTTTGAGTTATCTCTCACCAATTGTTTTGGAATTTTAGAATATGTTTGTGCTAAATAAAATACAGAGCTAGCACCTGAATGTCTACCCATACTGAAATAATCTCTTATAATCGATTGCGGGCCACATGATACATCATCGAATATAATGATAGAATTTTTTTTAGTTAGATTTGGTTTTATAACTTTGTCAGCGTCTGTGAATATAAAAAAATTAGCACCCTTTATTTCATCTATTATTTTTTTTAATAAAATATATTTTTCCTGATTAGAAGTTTTAGAGTATAAATAAATATTCTCAAATCTTAATCCGTTTTCATGTGTGATTAGGTTATACATTATATTTGTTTTACCTGAACCACTAGGACCAACTATAATAGCACGTATAGTGTCGGGTAATAACGGACCGTGTCTTGACAGTTTTTTTATTACTTGAGTGTCAACATTTAAAATATCTAATTTATCTTTCTGTTCAATCAAATTCATTTTCTTATAAATACTCTAGAATTTATAATTTATTATCACTTAAAAATACAGAGATGACTATTGTCTGTATCTCACGAACTAAACTCGACTCATTAGCTATTTCAATGATTTGCATATACTCGTATTCTACGTTCCTGTGTTCTTCTGACCTAAGCAAAAATAGCAGAGTGCAGCATAAATGACGCGTCAGTAACATGTATATCGTTATACTATAAAAAAATAATTTAAAAGAACCCAGATATTTAGATGACTGTATAATCGAAGGTAAGATGAAATGCTATATTATTATTGGGATCAGTACATTTTCCCAACACCATTTACCCGACAACATAAATTATAAATAAATTTATTTAATTATTATATTATAATTTATAAATAAATTTGTGTCAAGAATTAATAATAATAAAAACATTTTACAACTTACAATTTAATGTTATGAGCGATTCCCCTTAGAAATGATAAATTTGATCGATTTTCCCTGTCATTTATAATTGCACTAATACGTTTTTCTCGTTCAGCGTATTCTCTACGGAGTTGGAGTATGTGCCCTTCCATGAATTATATCTTCGGCTCTCCGTTCCATTTGAATTTGTTCTTTTTTAATTTCTTCTATAATTGTGTAAACACCAACATGACATTTTCCAACAAGAGTTTCAAAACGTCTGTGCCAACCCTCTACGCGATTTTGAGTTCTAGGAGTTCCTAATACCATTCGCTCAAATACGGACCAAAATTTTGGTGGAAATAAAGGAGCTGCGCGACTTACATTACTTCCTCTCATTATCCTTCTAATTCTACCATGCACATAATTGTTTTCAAACCATTGTATTACCTCAGAAGCTTCTTCAGGAAAAGTAAATTTCAATTCATCGAATGCACCTGGTATTTCAGTAGGTAGAAGAAAAGCAAGAGCAATAAGCTGACGTAGTTTCAAACTAAATTCTTCATCTTCTCCATATCTTTTACTAAGAGAATTTTCTTGAATTTGACGCCATACACTTTGACCTAGATGAAAAAGACAACCTATACAATTTGTATCTGGATATTCACGTTTTGAAGCATTTATAGCCGCTTGCTCAAAATCAGTTAAAATATATTGAGGATTTAATTCCAATTCATTTTCGGCTGCAAAATCATTTAAATTTTCAAAAAGGCAAGTATAGCATTCTTCTGTTTTACTCGTCATTAAAGCATACACAAGAGGTAATATTTTTGCATTTTCTCCTGTTCCTACTATAGCATGTATTGTATATAATTGTCGAAAAAAGTGTCGGAACAGTTTTAAAAGTACCGTCCATGATCCAATATGAACTTTTTTTCAAATGTTCAACGTTAAATTTAGTTGTAAATAAAAGTATTCTTTCATTGTCAAAGGATGTGTCTTTTGCTAGGAAAATTTGTCCATTAATAGTTCTAAGGGGTAATGGTACATTTATATTGTCAATGGAAGTTGGTTGAATAAGTATATCTTTTCTACGTGCTCTTTTTATAATTTGACGTAAAGCATGATTATTCGGCAACGATGGTTGACTTAGGCTAGAAACAGCATTGGTTTCAATTTGTATTAATTGTGCAGGCGTGTCATTAGTCTCACGAGCCTTTCGTTTTAAATTATGAACAGCCGTGATGATATCTTTTCTAGTAGCATCGGGGCTACAATGGTTATGCTCTTTTTTATTTCGTAAGTTGTGCTGACCATTAATTAGAATGGTACAAGCATAACCACTACAATGGAGAGTTTTCCTTTTTTCACAGCACCAATAATATAAATCATCTCTATTTTTGTCTTTTGTCATTATATAACCATCGATAACAAGTTTTATACCACCTCTATTTGATGAAACTGTTTTACAAACCATCTTCCAATTTATATTAAAAAAAATAATTGAAATGGAATTAAACGGAATAAAATCAAAATAATAATATTTTTAAAATAAAGGAGTAAAATTTGTATTAAATATGTACCTATAACGGCTATAACTGTACTGTACTGAGTGCACTAAACTATTAAACGTCGCGTCAAAAACCTACGGTCGCTTTATCTGTCTATCGCCTATTGGTTTATTTGGAAATAAAAATATTATCGTGAATAGCAGTATAGTTCGTGACCAAAAACGCAATAACATTTTATTTATCTTATTATTGTATAATAATAAATAATAATAATTTTTTTTGTTTTTGTTTTTGTATCGAGAGCTAAAGAAGAAACCACGTTAGTATTACTTATCCTCTGGATAAATAATAATAATAAAAAAAGATTTTATATTAGTATTACGTACAGTAAAAAAAAAAAAAAAATATATGTAAAATATATTGTCGGGCAAATGGTGTCTGGCAATTGAAGTGTCGGGCATTCGAGTGTCGGGCAAACATATCAGACCCATTATTATTTAGGTAATTAAATAATTAAATCGTTATAATAGTTTAATAATATTTAATTGATTGCTATCTACGAGTATACCGTTTTTTTAATATGTCTAAATGTTAATAATATAAAATATTGTGTAATCACGACAAAACATTTTTATTAATTATTTTTAATTTAAATTATAGGTGACTCACAAATGATTAACTTAGATTACTACTAAAAGATAGTATAGAAAATCGATTTGTAGCCAGAGTATCATACTCGCCACTGATGAAGGGTTAAAACACCTCATCGAGGCAATAACATAGATGTTTGATGGTAACTTTGCAACGGCACTTTCTATTTTTTAACAATTATATGTAATAAGAGTCAAAATTCATGATTTATATATAACTACAGTATATTTTTTATTAGAAAAAAAACGCAAACTACTTATGAATATATGTTACAATTGTTACTTGATGCATGTCATAATCAAAACTTGTATCCAAACCCTATTATTATCAATCATATTGACTTCGAAAAGGCAGCTATAAATGCAGTCATGTCTATATCAGGCGAACATGTAAATATAAAAGGTGGTTTTTTTCATTTAATGCAAAGTACCTAGTTATTTTTACTGTGTACAAGATACAATAATAATAATTATAATTATATCGAACATTTCTTAAATTATGTAATTTACAATATAAGTTTAAACAAATACATTTGATTTAATTTTTTTAACAAACTATTTGTAATAATTTATACTAGTAATAATTGGTTTTTGCTCTTTTCCATATGTTTTTTTTTTCAATTTACTTTTTTTTCATATGCTTTTTTTTTAAATCACTGTTAAAATAATTTATGTTACTATTAGAATTACATTAGGCTGAATCAATTTTTTTTTACGAAAACGTTGCTCTTGAAAATTATATTTTGGTTTATGTAGGTACATACATTTTTTTTTTCCAAAACGAATAATATTTATGAACAGCAACAATTGAATGAAAATTATTATTTACATTTAAAACATCTTTTTAATCATGATAATAATAATAATAATAAATAGTCTAAAACAGAACAAGAAAATAATGAATTTATTTTGTTTATCATACTATATATTTGTTGTTAAAGAGTAAACACCATATTGTGAATAATATTGTTTATTCTTTTTTTGTGGAAGGATAGGTTAGAGATTAATCGATTTTAAGAAGTATTATTATTTTCAATTCATTAGTTAACGTCATATAGTTTTTATTCTTCACTAATATCAATTTACCAAAATGATTTTTTTTAAGTGTGATTTAATAACTATTACAATTACAATTCTCTCAGTTTTGATTATTCCAGCGTATTCTGTTTTTGAAAGTATGGTCAACAATTTATGAAAAATTATTATATTTTATTTTAATTTGTATTGTATAAATATGCATCCATAATAATTTGTAGAATTAGTTATGATTAAATATTTATTTTTATATTGTTTTAAAATAAATTCAGTATAACTACTTAAAATTGGAAAAATGTATGCAAAATAATCAACATGATTGTTAGTTTTAATCTATTGGATTTTTCATTAAAAATTAGTGTATAGTAATTAATAGTATACTTTTTTGTTTTTCAGAAAAATGTGAACGTAATATTTTTTATTTTTTATATTAAACTTAATATAGTAATAAAGATTAGTTTTAATATTAAGTAGGTATTAATAGGTTTTATTAAATATCTATTTCATATTCTTAGATGATGGATGAATTTAGGTACTGACCATTATCCAAATGAAAATTTCACAAAATCAAAAATCTCTAATATGCTATCAATACACATTTTTTTTTTCAGTTTTGTAGTCGATTTGTCGTAATCAAAAATTATTGAAACATATTTCAAATTACTACCTTAATTACTTTATATCAATTTTCAATTGTTTACGACTAATAAAAATTAAAAATAAATATTTTTCACAAAACAATTTAAACTAAGTGCTGGTAAAATACATAAAATATTCGATTATGATTCAAAGTGCTTTACTGAATGTATTAATTTTATAATTTTATATTTATTTTTTTTGTGTGAGTATGTTTGTATACATACACAAAAAATTGGAGAAAATGTACTTAGATCCTTAATTTTAAAGGTAATTTGATAGCAAATTTCGAATAAGTTACATTTTATTATATTTTATACACTCAATGAAATTTTGAAGTACAATGTTTTTTTTTTTTAGTAAAAATTAATTTAACTCGTAGCATCAGTTATAGTACAATCAATTATTTAGTAACAATATAAATATATCATATAATATACTTAGTAATTTAAGTGGACTAATAGTGTTTGATTAGATATTCAGAATCATTTGTAATAATTTACCGTTGAAGTCAAATTTAACACTTAGGTATATTATATTACTTACCTACTCATTGACTAGGTATACTCAAACCTATTTTACATTATAATGGTTATATCCACTTTCCCTCTCCTTACACATTTTTATTTTCAATTCTTGTAACGGAAAAACCTCTTTTAAAAATAGTCAACAAGATTTAAGATATTATACTCGTATTATATTCTCATTATATGTTGTACTGTAATCATAATTAATAATAATCTTGTAATTAGTTATGTACAACTTTATCTGTGAAATGAATTTGAGATTTTATTATTTTTAAATGATCATTTAAGAGTAAGTATAGGCCTCAAAGATCGTATCAAAAAAGTTAAAAATAAATAAGAAATCTTAATATTATCTAACATACAACAAATTATTAACTGTATTGTAAACGTAGTCTTACATAATAAAAATTGAATCATTTTAACATTGAATAGATATTTTAATATTTGGCCCCCACTTTCAGAGTAAGTAGTTGTAATTTACAAAGTAGTAATTTTATTCTGTTTAAAATATTTTTTAAGGTATAATTATAAGCATTGACTATTAAAAACTTAAAAGTAACTTGTAAGATTAGGTTTATGTATTAGTTTAAGTATTTAATTTTTAATGTTTGGATATTTTGGCAAATATCGCATAGAAATATAGATAAATAAATTCATAATTAAAAAGGTATGTGATTTATCATCGGAAAACATTAAAATATAATAAGTAGTTAATTTAACAACTTAAGCTACACGAACTAGTATGTAGGATACGATGATAGAATGACAAAAGTACAGTTATTTATAAATTCAATTACAAATTTGTTTGATGTATTAGAATAATATTATGAGCAATTAATTTATTACAAATCATATTCGGAATGATAAATATGTTATGTAATGTACTGTCAAGTATAAATAATATACGTGATTTTATGGTTGATTGCCTTGATTAACATTAAATCAAAAATTGTAATTGTACTTCTCAGAAGTATATACGATTTCAAAACTTTTTACGCTTCCGTTCGTTTGTATGTATGCTCAATGCTCACTGCTCTTTGTGTATCTCATGACAGCCCTTCTCCCTTAATTGTATCTATTCCAGTTTTTTTTATCGACAATCCATTGTCGTTTTCGATCCTGTTGGGGAGTTGGCAATTAAATTCTATAGTAATCTAAATACCTAATTTAAAAACAGTTTCGAGAGCCAGAAAAAACTTAAATATTAGTTAATAACTAATGCAATTGTTTTTGTATTAAATAAACAGTTTAAGTTTTATTTATTACGAACTGAAAAATGTTATTAACAGTAGATACAATAACCAGTGTTATATCACTATTACTGCGAGCAACGTTATACGATGAACGTCATCGTATTTTCCAAATAGATCAAATATTTATTATGTGTAGAAAACCAGCATTAAAAATAAATATTTACGGTGGTCCAGTTATCTCACTTCCACGGGCCGTCTATTATCGACCCTTAATTTGGTTCCTGTCAAGAAATCAGCTCAAGTTAGTATAATAAATAGCGATAATTGCATATGTATTATATTTGTTGCGTGAACGTGCTTACAACTCTGGATTTTTTTTTTTGTTCGACATTGATCTAAAACTTAAAGCTATATTTAATATTTTTTTCTGATTTCACATTTAAATCACACTTAAAGTATTCTGTATCAAAATCTTACGATTATTCATGAGTTATTATTATTCGCTTCCTGAGTTATTATCATTCGCTGTATCTAAACCAATTAATATTTCTTTTTCTACAGGATTATTTTTATTTAATTAACAGTTATTATTTCTTTATAATTTTTTTTCTCAATATTTTTTATTAACACTTATACAATAGATTTTATTCTTACTTGAAAAATAAATATTATTATTTTCGATGTGTATAATATTATTGGTAGATGGTATACCTTTTTATTAATTATAGGTAGTTAGCCTAACTTAACCTAACCAGCTCGCACGCAGCAAGCAGTTCTTACAACTATTCATTTTCGTTAAATAAACATTATATTATTAAAATACTTGTTTAATTTTAAAACCAACAATTATTAATGTTTTGTATGATAACCAGTTATAATATCTCTATAGTAGTTGTCTTAAAAATATTTATTTACGTAATTGTAAATAAAATCTTATTCTATAAATCTTCGCAACCAAACAACTTTTACAAAGTTCGGAACTCCTGTAAAAAGCTAAAAAATTAACAAGTAATGTTTTATCGATTGCTATTTTTCAAACACCTATAGTACTTAATCCCTAGCAACTTTATACAAGTACAATCAAAATACAAATTATATTCTTTGTGGTACTGATTCGGGTATAATTGACTGTATAATAATGATGCTTATAACCACTAGTATACTTATAGGAAAAACAAATCTTAGGTATACTAGAAAATGGGTTAATATTAATACTATAATATTCTAAACAGATGGTTTATTATAATTTAAAATTGTAAATATAATTTTTAAGTACCTCTTTCAATAGCGTATGTATATATATATATATATATAGGTATTTATTTTACGAAATTATAGTCTAAAACAACTTTAGGGAATAGTTGTCATTTAAACTTACTAGTACTTAGTACTACATGATTATAATTATTTTCAGGTAAAAAAACAATTGACAGTAATTTTAGTTATAAAGGTAAGAAACTTAATATAATTTTTGATATCGCTTGACATGGATGTATACATTTCTTGAGTTTATTTATTCCACCAATTTAGTTGTTACATAAGAAAAATTTTGAAGTTCTTGATTTTAAATGTGTTTGTGCACAAGGTTTTATCGATAGTGTGAACATTCGACTGCTTTTTCGACTGGTATCCGTGGTTACCGTCTGCTAATTAGTTAACATTTAATCTGTCATCGAAATCGGTACACACAATACGTGTAAAAAGACTGTCTCTATTCGTCTACTTATGCCGTTTTTAACACGCGGCCATTGTGTCACGTATTCGCGCTCGAAGTATCGTTGGGATGTCTTCATCACTGACACGCATATTGTTTTTCTCACAAGCGACGATTCGCCATTTAAAAAGTACAATCGCTTCTTTTGAAAAGTATTGCCGTCATGTGTGTTTCGCTGTGCACATTGATTCCAGTTGTTTGCATGCATATTTCCGCCTGTGAGCGCCCGTGTGAGTCTAATCTTCGCTGCTATTGTCACTGTCAGCATCGCTACTGAAGTCCGAGTATCAACTATCCTGTTATCGTATCAGATAAGCACATCATTTTTTTTTATTATAATCATGATTTATAGAATTTCGATCAATTTTATTATTGAACTAGATGCTTCGAAGGATTCGTGGCATATCAAACTCCGGCAATAATTACAAGCTTGAGTTACGTCCAGTATCGTTAGTTCATGCATCAATGCAAAAATAAAAAATGATATATTAAGTAAAGAAAAATCTATATTTAACGTTAAATTTAAATCTAAAAGTACAATATAAAAAATGGTGAGTGATGTCACGACCTGGTTCTGAATGTCTCAAATACCCCTAACCGTCTGCCGGCTGTTGCGTAGATCTACTCTATGTATCATCATTTCATAAAGAGTGATGCTCGTGGTGAAGGCGACTTTACTATTACAAAGGATCTCGTAACATGGTTTAAAATGCTTGTTAAATCGTATCCTTATCCCCTTATCTGTGAGACAGTAAATTTCAACTTTTCCAACAAGAGACGTTAGACTTTACTTAAATGGTTAAATTAAAATAATACAATGTTTACGGTCTTCATCCTGAACTTAAAAAAATTATGTTATTAATTATTTGATAAAAACGTGTTGCTACATCTTACATTATGTGTTTTATATTATTTGATTTTTATATAAATAGATAGATAGATATCATAGGATTCATAACATTTGCATGGTCAATGTTGTTCCACCGACTGCATATGATCGCTACAGAGTATAGCGTTAATCGACAAATAACTCAATACTCCTTCGTTGTCTCAGAAATCAATTCAACAAACAGTTCTCTAATCATTAATTAAAGAGAACATTTTACTATTATCCACGTAGGAAATTCTCGACATAAGCTCGTTTATTCTATTTTCGTTGACGTCTCGAAGCTTGTGGGTCGTTACCCGGCAGTATTCGAGTCTACCTACGTTAAGTGCTACCAAATATTTTATTTAGAAAATTACTCAATCTACAAAATTTTTTGTAAACTGATTACGCAAAAACACATAAAGCTTGAGAAATAAGTGAAAAAATCATATTTTTGTGACCTCTGATGTTGAATAAAAAATTCAGCAAAAGTAAGATCCATGAAAATTTCTAATATTGATTTTGTAATGAGATAGGTACTCAAAGTCTATACAAATTTTCAGCTCTATACAAATTATTTAAAGTTAAATGTTAATTTTATAGTATTGAATAAGGAATAATCCATATTAAAGACTTAATTAACAATATTAATAAGTTGTTATTAATAGCATAATAATTTATACCAAATATTAAACCAATTATTTTTCATTTTTGCATTGAAATATTTCATGTCAAATATTTGGAAAAGAGTGAATTTTCAATTTAGAAATATTTCAAATTTAGAAGCCCGGTTAGGAATATCAAAAACACTCGGGTAGGTTATAACAAAATTCACAATTTTAGATATTATATTTGAAGTCATGTCATAACACATTATTGAAAATATTGACTTACAAATTACAATAAATTTTTATAATTTTGTTTAAAAAGTGTTAAATCGAATAAATGTATGTATGTATTAATCGACAAACAAAAAGTGTTGACATAGACTAATATATTATAATATATTGATTGAGGGATTGTATCCTTACAGTACTCACAAAAAATATATTTTTGATGTATACATTTTCAAAAAATATTTAACAAAATGTAAACTGTAAATCATTTTTTTTTTTTTTTTTAGATAATTTATGTATGTATTTTCTTTAAATTTTTAAAAATTAAGATTTATTAATTAAACATATGCTATAAAATTATTATAGTTGTGTAATGGCTTACAGACTATACTGATTATAATATTATCATTTATTTTAAATATTTGATATAAATGACGAACCAGTAATATTTAAACCATCACATTTTAAACATATAATATTTATTAGTTAAATATTATTTTCTTCTTCTTCTTCTTCTTCTTCTACTTCTTATATGCCTTTAAAACTCTAAGAGTTTTGGCTGCCACCGACACTGATCTCCATTGATCACGATCCAGTATCCTTTCCTTCCAATCTGTTACTTCTAGCCTCTTTAGATCTTGTTATAATCCATCCATCCATCGTTTCTTGGACTAAATAAACATAATAGTATAAAAAATATTAATAATTGCAAAACTAATGCTCCACCTGTACGAAGATGCTTACAATACAAAAATACAAAATTACAAGTTACTAAAAATCACGACTACAATGGTAACACATCGGTCTATGATCGCAGGAAAAGGAGATTGAGCCACTACTCAAATTATTCTCACT